TATTTTCTTATTTTCTTTCTGTTGCGGTGTAAGTTCTAGCCCTTTTTGGAATTTCAATGGCTCATTTTTCAATGAATATTGCGAAATGTTCAGCTCACTAGCCATTTTTCGGCCACTGCGACTCCGGTTTCGATCAATCAGCTGTCAGCCACTCGGACGAGTGGGTTAGAAATGACATCAGTCTGAATTTGGTTGCAGTTTTTTCTCTCACCCTGTATTCAATATAAAATCAGATATTATTTTACCTTGAATGACATTTAATAACATGTTAATGTTATTATACTCAATCTGAATTCGTATGACGGTAGAGATTGTGGGGTCCAATCATGGCTTATGAGGATGAATTGTTTTTATACGAATTCAATTGATTTTGAATGAATAATATGCAGCGAACAAAAGAGCTATATAATTGCTTGGTAACTAAAGGATCTGCCAATTCCTTGCACCATCGCCTAATAAATCCCAAAGTTTTATAGGCCCTGGTCGTTATAAGGGATATGTGTTCTCTAAAATTTAATCTATGATCCAAATGGACTCCCAAATCATAAATGGAATCAACATTATTAACTACTCGGTCAATAAGATAATAAAACGACATATGCTTACATTTCAGAACATTCAATTCTAATAAATTAGTCTAACACCATTCATAAAATTAGTTTAGATCTGATTGTAAAACAAGTCGATCTGTTGCATTATTATGTGAGTAAAATATTTTTACATCATCTGCAGACATTAAGACCCTTGAATGACTTATTACGCTTGGTAAAACATTTAAAAAATAGCCTGAATAAGAATGACTCCCTTGCGGAAAACCAGATTTTACATACATTTTATTTGAAACAGAAGACCCAAAATTAACTGCACACTACCAAAAAGAAATCTTCTGAAGGCTTCATTCACAGTTGTAGTGAATTTAAAAAGGTTTGTTATTCTTGATCGATGTTTCCTAAATCCATGTTGGTAATTTGACATCATGGATGAAACTTGAAAGGATAATGAATCAGTTATAAGTTTTCAATTAATTTTTGGAATAACATTCAGCTTTGAAATGCATGTAGAGTAAGAAATTTCTGTTCTACTACCTGATTTGGATAATGGTACAATAAATAATTTCTTCCATATTAAAGGGAAATGGCCGGTTGACATAGATTTAGTAAACATAAGGAAAAGCGGGACAGCAAGATTGTCGGCACAGTGTTTTAGAATACACGCAGGAACTGCATCTGGCACAGGAGAAGAGATATTTTCCATACTTTTTTAAATTGTTTCAACGTCAAGAGACGGAAGATGCATTAAGGGAAATTCAGCAATTGCTCTGGATATTGATAATCCTCGGTAGATGATTTATTCGAATATGTTGTTATAAAAAGTATGCAAATGCATTTGAAATACTTGGATCATCATCGGCGCAAATTCTTGGAGACACATTAGATTGGCGTTTTGTTATAATAAAACCATAAAATGATTTCGGATTACATACCAAATTTCTTTATATGTTATTTATATAATTCTTATAAAGTTGTTTATTTAACGTTGTATACTTTGATCTAATAATATAATAATATGGGGGCTATACGGAGACGTGGACCTACATGGTCCATTTTCTGTTTTATGCTGCAGTATCTATTACAAACTTCAAATACCAAATTTGGAATGATTCCGTTAAATAATGTCGCTAAAATCATCAAAATACCGAATATCGGGGGGTACCGTTATATGGGGGCTATATGAAGACGTGGACCTACATGGCTCATTTTTTGACTTAGGATGTAGCATCCATTACGAACTTCAAATACCAAATTTGAAACGATTCCGGTAAATAATGTCGCTAAAATCATCAAAACACCGAATATCGGGGGTACCGTTATATGGGGGCTATACGAAGACGTGGACCTGCACAGATAATTTTCTGTCTTAGGCTGTAGTATCCATTACGAACTTCAAATGTCAAATTTCAAACAATTCCGTTAAATAATGTCGCTAAAATCATCAAAATACCGAATATCGGGAGGTACCGTTATATGGGAGCTATATGAAAACGTGGACCTACATGGCCCATTTACGAACTTAACCTGCCTACTGGAAAAATATTTATATTGCAAAATTTTAGCAATCTCTCTCAATTCATTCGAAAGATAGCGTGATTACAACAGACAGGCAGACGGACAGACAGACGGACATCGCTAAATCGACTTAGAATTTTACGCTGATCAAGAATATATATACTTTGTTGGGTCTGACATGAGTATTTCGAGGAGTTACAAACGGAATGTCAAAGTTAATATACCTTCCATAGTATGGTGGAGGGTATAAAAAAGGAAGCTAAGACACAAAACATCATATGGGGTTTGACACTAATATTACAATGCAGTCGAATCACCTGAGTTTAGCTCCTCTCTTCTAATAACTAAGTTGTAAGTTTGATTAACATCGCGAAAACAAAATTTACAGCGTCTCCTGCTCTTTAAAAACCAATTCACTTATCTTTGTTATTCTGTATGTAAGAGGTGGCAATAACAACTGGACGATGACTTTTCAAACAATTTGTAGTTAGTTGTGAAATAATGCATTTTAAATATTACTTTTTCCAATATTTCTATTAACACAAGATCTGGGGCCAAATCACCGCATTCGAAATCGAGTACTTCAGCATCGTAATGTAGTTTACGCGGATCACCGCAGTCGTTATCGAATTGTTTTTACTCGAAGTTGTACACGATAGGTAGTATGCTATCGAAAACAAAGTATGTAGTGATGTTTGTGCGGAAAAAAGGCAAGCAAAAAGAAACAAGAAGTTGGTGAAAGTGTCAGTTTTATTCAATTTTAAATAGAATTACTTACACCACTTCAGGTAATGTTAATGCCACTTTATACTCATGCTCTGAGTCCGAAGACGAGGAAAACAAAAAAAAAACCAGTAAAGAAAGTCTTAAAGTCGGGCGGGGCCGACTTTATGATACCCTACACCACTTTGCTAATTTAATAGCATAACAAAAGTTTTTATGGGAGAATTCAATCATACACGCTATGATTATAATTATAGTTTAAAGTTCAGGGGCTAAATATGCCGAAGCATTCGTATCTTTTAAATTCGGAATTATATTGCCCATTTGGTGCTCAATTAATTTGAATATATATATGGGAGCTACATCCAAATCGGAACCGATCTCGATAAAATTTAGCAAATATATTTCTGAGCTGTATTTGATATATGTCCCTGAATATCGTTGTTATGGAGCTCATATTACGTCTGTGGGTAACAAATATGACAAATCGGATGAACACTATATATGGGAGCTATAGCTATATCTGAACCTATCTTCACCAAATTTGACATACTAGCTTCTAGACTCAATTCGGTCGTAAGTGCCAAATTTCATCCGATTTGGACAAATATTAGACGTTTGGTGCACAATCAAATGTAAATCGGACGAAGTTATATATGGGAGCTATACCCAAATCTGAACCGATCTCGATAAAATTTAGCAAATGTATTTCTGAGTTGTATTTGATATATTTCCCCAAATATTGTTGTTGCATAGTGCATATTACGGCGGCGGTGGACAAAAATAACAAATCGGATGAACAATAAAAAAGCAAATCGGACGAAGATATATATGGGAGCTATATCTAAATTTTGACCGATTATCTCCAATTTCAATAGGGTTCGTCCTTGGGCCAAACAAAAGATCTTTGCAAAATTTCATCTGGATCGGGCAATAAATGCGACCTGTACTTTGTTTACAAAAATACATGGACAGACGGACGGACGGACGGACGGACAGACGGACGGACGGACATGCATAAATCGACTCAGAATGTGATTCTATGCAGATCATCAAAAGGAACTATGAGTCTATCTCGTTTCCTTCTGCCTGTTACAAACAAATGCACAAAGACATAATACCCTGACCACCTTGTGGTGTAGGGTATAAAACGCTTGTATTCATAATACATTTGTACACATGTACACACAGAAACAATATAAATTTCTCACAAATAACATATTTTGATCCCAAAAACTTATTTTGAAGTTCTCTTTCGCTTCCAATTTCTTATTACCATATGTTTACAGCAATGTAAAAAAGTAGTAGACGAAATAAATTGCGATCGAATGTCGTGATCCAAAAATTTACAATGATCGAAATGTTTCTCTATACGAAACAGAACTCGATGACGAATGCGGTGATTTGGCCCCTGGTATGAAGATGATAGATATTGACCCACCCCTTTTGGTATCTTCACCACTAAGGGGCATAATATTCAATATTCATATCTCTTATAATTTGCGGCTCAATCCTTTGGTACCACCCCCACAAAAAGGTTTAAATGTTGATTAATTATTCGCATAAACTTGTAAATAAAAGTTAGATGCTCATCCCCATATTTTTTTTAGTATTATATGAAGTGAAATACTTCGGTCCACTATATTTGGTACCTCGCGCACATTTCTTAATTTTCCAAAAATTACTACATTTCTCATGTTAAGGTGAATCAAGTAGTCGATATAGCCCAAATGTGGCACATTTATATGAGACTTGGGTCAGATATGAAATGGACAACATTGGCCCACTCCTCAACAATTTGAATAATCATAACGCTTCTCAATATATATTCAAATAAAAGGTTCGTGGCTGAGGGTATACATCAGTCGGCGGTCGGGCGCAATTTGATGATTTCGATTGAAACTATTCGATATCTAATCACAGAATCTGGCTCCACTGTAATTTTGTAAAGTGTTATCAACACCAATATAATTTTCATGGTAACATAAGATGTCCGATTGTATCATCGATGAATGGGAAGTAGATAACCTTACGTTTCTATCGGTTATATGCACATCCAACAGTCGTTGATAACATTATTAAAAAACTCTAGCTCGCTTGCCAAGCGGCCCTAGGACAGGTGTCGGCCAATGCATACCTATAGCAGCGCTATAAAACATTCCGAGCAAAATCTTCTAATCGCCTAAATTAACCAATAAAATATACAAAACATTGTAAATCTGTAACACGTTTTATTGGTCTATATTTTATTAAAAACATTTTTCTTGTAGTTTAATATATTTTACTTTTTAATATATAAATAACATGACGATTTGAAAACAGAAATTAAATAAGTGTACTTTAATGTAGTAGAAAGTGTTTGTTGTTGTTGTTGTTGTTACAAAAGCAATATTACAATAACTGTGGTAGAATTGGCTCCTGTAATAGATATTTTACAACTGATACCACTTTTTATCCTTGTATTTAAGCATTAATGAATGCGCTGTGCCGCTGAAATCTTGAGCTTGATTGGCCATGCGTTCGGCACGCTCTTCTAGCATATTAAGTTTTTCGCCGCGTTCCATTGCCAATAAATGGGCGCGACTGATTTCAGATGCAGCTGTCGAAGCTCTCTGATTTAATTGTTCGAGTGTTGGGCCCGGAATGTGTTTAGCAATAGAACGATTCGCCTTCCCACTTTGTTCTCCAACTATGATGAGATAGGGGAAATAAATATAAAAACAAAACAATTAGAATACAATCACAATTTATCAAACTATTTGGGTTCCTTCTTACATAATTCTTCTCTGTCCAAACTCTTAGCGCCGCCTCCAAACAATCCTTTAAAGAAACTTTCTTTTGGTTGCTCTGGCATCTCTTGAACCGTGTACAATGATCCCATCATATCTAAAATAAATTGACTAAACGGAAACGAGACATGTGTTATGTATTTTTCAATTGGAAATATGAATGCTGCATGTGGGATACTATGCGGATACCGATTTCTTGTAATCTCAAAAATATACATAAAATATGTGATCGATTCGGTGCACTTACCAAAACTCTGACGATATTGTAAACTTTTGTATTTCGGTGGGTGATGCCATGTACAGACCATGACCTTTATTGCTGAAGCAAAATATTTTTGATATTCTGAAAGGGAGAGAACAGACAAAAACAAAAAAAAAAAATGCAAAAGATAGACCAAAACAACAATAATTTGAAATTAGTAACATCAGTGAATAGGTTAGTGAACAAATGTATAACACATACTGTGTTATATCTTCGTGAACAATGATTTGTTGACCCCATATGGAAAGCATTGGATCCACAATTCCCTGTTTGCATTTGGTTTGAAAACTATGCGAATGAAGAGAAATGAGAACAAGCGATATGTCAGTTACAAATATTTCTATTCTAATTTCGCAGGAGAGAGAGTTAGATGTAACTAGATGACGGTTGGTAGCTACACATACAAATTTAAATCTAAAATATGTATGTATGTCGTCAATGAGACTCACCTTAAGTCCATAAGTGGTAAGAACTCGGTATCCATTAACAACTTTAGACTAGGAAGACTATGAACCATTAGATGGCCATTTGAAAGATAGGTTGCTAGGCAAGTTCCATCTGAAAATAGTAGGATTAGTATGTATGTAACGCAGTCGTGTCTAGGTCTAACCTTTCATTGTGATAGTTTTTGCTTTAACCGCAAAATCCATTTCCGAAAATTGTATGCGATTAACACAACATTGATTTGCAATATCGAAGACTTTGGTTTGTTTCTCGCTTGCAATTACGATATATTGTCTATCAGCTATGGTATCTAGGCCGGTGCTAACGCTTCCACTAATACCACTGCTACTGGCACTGGAACTCACATTACCACCAGATGTATTTGATATTGTATTGGCAGTTGTAGGTGTAAATGTTGGACTTGTCCGACTGCTACTTTTTGTTGGCGTTCCTGTATGTGTGTAAAAAAACATAAAACAATCGATAAATATCTATAAAAGAAGAATCAATATGTAACTTAAGGTGTAGTTGCATAAGCAGCTTGAAGTCTTCGCATGGCATATTTTGTTACATATCATTAAGGGATGCAAGAGCCGGAATCTAATCCTGGGGTGAGATCTTCAAAAATGGAGCTCAGACATATATATTACTACTAGTATGTATGGTATTAAAATGGGACATGTCGGATATGTGGCGCTATATGGCGCCCACATAACGTTACTTCCTTATTTTCGTTATTTGAATGTTTTGACCACAATTTTAAGCCAAATCATGTATAACTTGACTTTTAGAATTCTGAGTCGATATAATCGCACCTTGCAAATTTTTTTTAAGATTGCTCCACTATTTTGAATTGGCCCCATGTTACCGTGCCTCCTAATTTCCGTTATTTTGAAGGTTTCGACCACAATTTAAAACTCAATCATGAGTTACTTGACATTTTCAGTTCAGAGCTGACAGAATCTCTCACTGGTAAATTTTATGAAGATAGGTCTGCTATTATGTATGGACCATTTTTCAATGTTCAATTTTGGTTTCATAATCAGTAAAAAAGAACAAACTTAATACAAAACCAGTAAGAAAATGACAAAAGTCCTATACCCAAAACCCCTCTACATATTTATTTAGCCATGCCATTGTAAAAATTACGGGTAGACAATGGGTTAGGAAATTCATCATTTTGTAATGGAAGATTCGATATCTGTAACAGAATATTTTTATGGAGGATATATTGAGTTTGGCATTCCATTTGTAACTACTCTGAATGTATATTTTATATCCCGCAAAAATATATATATTCTTAATCAGCATAGAATTCTACGCCGGTTTTAGGAGGCGCATCCGTTTGTGGAAATCACTCTTGCTTCGGAACGATATGAAGTAGGTTGATAACATTTTACGCAGATGTGTTTTAGATATGCAGGAATTTTGATATTGAAAATGGGCTATGTATATAAGTCCCCATATAAGTGTTTTTTTTTTGTTTTTTTTAGTCCCGATTTTTATCCGAATTTGCTATGAATTGGCAGTTTGTGTTCCCACCCTTGCATAGAACGGTCCAATTTCGGAATATAGAGTTCGCAAGGTGGTGGACGTTTTTCAATTGGGTTTGTAGCGTGTTGCAAAATACCTTGGTATACCTTATATCATCGAGAAATGTAAAAAAATAGTTTGGGTATTCTTTATCAATATTTTTCACACTGTAAGGAAAATACAATACTTACGTTCCTTTTTGGCATCCCTACTGTCATCCCGCCACGGTTCAGAAGAGAATGGTATTATTGAGCCAAAAGCATCCAAAAATGACATTGATGTTATTGCACCTTTAAGGCGTAAAACTGGACCGCCTATAATTTTTAAACGGAAATGTCATAAATTGCAATAATAAAAAACTATAGCAATAATATTAATAATAACATAGCAGCAGAACATACCGTTAATTGTGACCAAAACTGGCTGAGATTTTCTTACTTCGCGTTCTGGCATGGAAACGACCAGCGTTAGTATGGAACCAAAACTAGTGCCAACCCACAAAGTTGGCACTACCGATAGCATGTCTTCAAAGGACAACAAAAACAAAAAATTCATTAGAATTGAAGGAAATAAAATTAGTTAGAATTGAATGCGTACCATTCCTCTTGTTGTAACTCTCAATGAATGCCAAACAGGTGACTGATTCTGCGGAAGACATGTCTATGCTCGACATCGACGAAGATCTGGATCTTGAGAACGATCCGTCCACTTTTTCTGTAAATATCATTAAAGATTAGCAAAAAAAATCACACATTAAGTCAAGACATTATATTGGTATGTGTGTGAAACGATGATCAAAGTACTATCAAAGATGGACTAAAATGTGAAGTAAATGCATGGATATGTGAGTGAGAGCGGTACAATAAGTAGTTGTTGGGAGAGGAGTAGAGTTAGTAACATGGTGAAGTGGTGTGTGTGAGAAGAGAGTCGGGTTTCGTGTATTGAAAAATGAAATTAATGAAATGGAAAAGTGGGTGACTACAAAGAATGTGGTTTCAGCCATAATGGGAGAGACAGAGAGCGAGATAACGATTGGTTGGGTGATCGATCGATTAGGTAGGTGTTTAAAGTGTACAATAATGCAATGCAAGCAGACATAATGAATTGTCATCATTCTAATCAAACCTTATACGAACAAAACCATCTACATTCGTGGTAAAGCATAACATTTCAGATGATGTGTTTCGGCGGAATCCTTTTTTCTCAGCCCTAAAACGGCAAAGACTCACTGAAATAACGAAGATCTTAATTCTTTATATGTAATTTAAAATAAAAAATTTACGTCATTTCGGACGAACCAGTTTCGCTAATAAATATTATTCAATTACAAAATCGATTCATGACGCCGCGTAGAACTAATGTCTAACAACATATTTGTTAGAAGTTCATTGAGAACATAGGTCAAATGAAATTAATTTAACATTTTACGGAATAGGATAATAAAAACATAGATTCCTTTTAACACTCGAAATGTAACACTTTGAGAAATTTTAGTATTACATACACGTTTGTCAAATGTCCCTTAAAGCCAGATAGACGGATAAGACACATCTACTGGTCATTTCACATACGCATTAGTATTTGTTTGTTTGGTTGGAGTCCTTTAGTGATTAAAAATGTGTTCTTGTAAATAGGTTCATGTTTGCCTAGGATTTTTTGTCGTTCAGTTTTTCTAAGGCTATCGAAAATAAAAACGAAGCGAATGCAGTCACTCGAGGTCGACTTAAGTTGGGTTTCTTTCAAGGTCTACATAAGGTCGGCCAAGAAGACAACTTTTGACAATAAACTTAGTAGTTTTTGCATTATTGTGATTTGACTCTCTTTGAATATCAAATCGTGTCTTTTAACAACAAATTTAGCTGTCAGATGGGCTTATTGGCCGATCTCATATGGCCCATGACTCTCTTTCAACTGGCTTTACGTATACCCTCCCTAACAGTACGTTTATATATATGAGGGTTAACCCACTGGATTTGGATTTAAATTGTCATATCCATTATTTTTACTTCAAATAAATCCTCTCAAAGTAGGTTAACCCTACAAAAAGTTCTAACGTAAACATGTCATAATTCTACCAAATTGAGAGTGTATTTTTACAGCACTGATAAAAAGCAATGAGAATCAAATACCAAAATAAACAGAAACATACCTCAAAATAAATGAGAAAGAACATTGTGTTATTTTTTTTTTGTGCACCAACAATTATACTTTGGTTTACAGATAACGATTTTACATATTTTCCTAAGATCGCAAAGCAAGTGACTGAATTTGACATTTTATTTCGAGTAAATGTTTTTACTAAAACCTATTTATTTGCTCGAAAAATGGCACCGTTTCAAGATGTTGTGGGAATTAATACAATTTAATAAGAGTTTTTATATCCACTACTAGTGGTTCTATTCGAGATACATCTATTTTGGTTGCAAACTTAAAAGAGATTAATAATTAAAGTTATTTATAATTCCGTTATTTATAATACCGTTGTTGTCAGGCTTAATTCCTTTATTGTTGTTTTTTATAAAAACAATGTTTGTTTATTAGCGGAGAACGATGGTAATGTTTACCAGGGAGTAAGGCAGGGAATACCTAGGTTTCGGAAAGAGCCACCCATCCTCATCAGTTCCCTTGTTTTTTGTCTGGGAAGTTATTTTAAAAATAACTCCATTGACAAAAAACTTTTTTTTACCCGAGTGACGAGATCATAAGCTCAATAGAGGAGGAACCAAAGAGTTACACAAAACTAAAATTCTTTTGGAAAATCTTCTAAATCTTACAACCGCGCTTATAAACATTTTCATATTTTTCTACTTGTTATGCTTTCGTTTTACACGAGCGGAGTAGCATAACCATGTAAGTTAGTTTTGTCTGTTAAAACCCCTTCGTCGACCATGCCTTGTCTATTAATAGAACGGTGTTGGCATGTTTGTTCGGGATACCATAGAATTTTGTTGTTGCAAAATGGTCAGGCCTAATCCCATTATTGTTGACCTCCAAAGGTCAACCTTTTAACTACTTGATAGACCCGTCATTATCTCATCTTTTTTTAATTAATCTTTGAATTTTAATCAAATGTTGTCTTCGGCAGTTCGAAGAATAGATTTTATTTCCATTCTCCGCATAACGTGGTTTTGAACAAACTTATCCGATAGGCAAATATTACCGCTCAACCATGAGGTAGGAAAAACATTTAAAAATATAAGTATCTGGATTTAATATTCGAACGAGTTCTATTTTAAACTGCAAATATCAGTGAAATCTGTTGGAGAATGTAGTTAAGGTCTTGCAAATACCATAAAGTGCCGTTGGTACCGTTATATGAACGCTATACCATCTATTGTTCCTGCAACCAATTTCAGACTGCTGTCATTTCTAAGCCACTCGTCCGACAGCTGTTAAAATTATTCCAGTGCCAGCTCATTATATTGTTTACAAGCGTACAAAAGCATTTTGGTGAGAACTTTCCACATAAAAAGTTATTCTTGACGTTGAAGGAAAATAGACTCAAAAGAGCTAAAGAGTTGCTTCGCTTGGCCGAAAGTGGTGAATTGCCGAATTTGGTTTTCTCCAATAAGAAAACGTTCGTTGTCCAACAGTTTGTAAACAAACAAAATGATCTTGTTTACTTGCCAAAAAGGTCAGCTGATAAGGTGCACCTTCGGTTTGCCACCAGAACTCAAGCGCCGGCCATGGTGATGGTGTGGGCCGCCATAATAGCCGATGGTCGCTCTCCGCTCGTATTAATCGACCGTGGCATCAAAATAAATACCGAATATTATCGCGAAAATATTCTGGAGGGTGTATTAAAGCCTTGGACACGCAAACATTTTGGCCGCAGGCCTTGGACATTCCAACAGGACTCAGCACGCGCCACCAAGAATGGTTACAAGATGAGGTTCCTCGCTTCATTTTCAGCGCACAATCGCCACCAAAATCTCCGTCGGACTATTGTGTCTGGAGTAAGGTTGGCACTAAAAAATACTAAAGTGTGGATCACCTCAGGGAAGCGCCGGGAATGGCCAAAATACCGCAGTGCAACATTCGGGCAGCATGTGACGGTTTCATTTTTTTTTTAAAGGCCATAATTCGTGCCAAAGGTGACCAATTCGAACAATCCAATCCAATCCTGTATCGAAACTTTTGGCCAACTTAATTTACTTTTTTTTCTCAATTAGAGCTGAATTCTACTTCACGCGAAAAAAATAAAAACAACAGCTCTTAGGAGGGCTGTCATCAAATACACATTATTCTAATCCTACGTTTCTGCTAAAGAGACCTCAGACCTAGCTACTTCATATATGAATTAAAGAGTTATTTAGAATATTGACCCACAATATTTGGGTACGACGATGTTTTGTGTGGTTATGCCGACAAGTAGATAGAAAATGATTCATATTCGAGCATCAGGTGTTTTCATTCAAATCAACATAAATCACTTTTTATGCCCACAACGCAGTCAATAGTATACCAATGGCACTGAACGTTGTAGGAAGTCAAACTTTCTGCTGAGAAATTATCAACATTCAGGGCTGTCACAGAAACCATGTCGGTTCTGCTTATTGTCATTTTTGTAAACCAATGTTGATTTCATTTGGTGTCATGAAACCATGTTGGTTTTGTCAATTTCGAATTTAAATAAAACCAATGTTCGAAACAGCTTTTGTTGCTTACATGTGTTGTTTGTTTATTTGTCATTGAAATATCTGTAAAAGTAAAGTAAATAAAAAAAGGAATAAGTCGCTATAAAAAAGTAAGATGGCATCAGCAGTGGTAGTTTTTGTGTTGTTGGACGAAGAACGCTCCGAAAAGGTGACGAGAAAAGCTCTTAGAGATTTCAGCAACCCACTGGAGTTGCCGGAGACAGCGTAAGTAAATTTTTTTATTGTGAACTTATTCATAAAGCTGCTTTGCAGATTTATGGTTTATGGTCCTTTAAAAATTCTTTAGAAAATCCACGTTTATGGTCCTTTAAATATCCTTTTGAAAATTCTTTCAAAAATCCACGTTTATGGTCCTTTAAATATCCTTTTGAAAATTCTTTCAAAAATCCACGTTTATAGCCCTTTAAATATCCTTTTAAAATTCTTTAAAAAATCCACGTTTATAGCCCTTTAAATAACTTTTGAAATTCTTTAAAAAAAACCACGTTGATAGTCCTTTAAATAACTTTTAAAAATTCTTTAAAAAAAACCACGTTGATAGTCCTTTAAATAACTTTTAAAAATTCTTTAAAAAATCCACGTTGATAGTCCTTTGAATATTCTTTAAAAATTCTTTAAAAAATCCACGTCTATAGTCCTTTGAAAATTCTTTAAAAAATCCACGTCTATAGTCCTTTAAAAATTCTTCAAAAAAATCCACGTCTATAGTCCTTTAAAATTCTTTAAAAAATCTACGTCTATAGTCCTTTAAAAATTCTTCAAAAAAATCCACGTCTATAGTCCTTTAAAAATTCTTCAAAAAAATCCACGTCAATAGTCCTTTAAAAATTCTTTAAAAAATCCACGTCAATAGTCCTTTAAAAATTCTTTAAAAAATCCACGTCTATAGTCCTTTAAAAATTCTTTAAAAAATCCACGTCTATAGTCCTTTAAAAATCCTTTTGAAAATTCTTTCAAAAATCCACGTTTATTGTCCTTTAAAAAATCCAAGTTTCTAGTCCTTTAAAAATTGTTAAAAAAAAATCCACATTTTTAGTCCTTTGAATATCCTTTAAA